AGTGATGGTCAGGTGTGCCGTAGAAAATCATCCTATTTCACCTAATTGGTCTAAAAAATTTTTGGATAAGGAATTAATTATCTGAAAATATTTTTTGGGTGTCTGTGCTGGTGGAGTAATCATGTAATAATTCCTTATGACTAGGTTTCTATATAATTTTACATATTGAAGTGGACATGTTAAGAGAAGTTTGAAAGAAGAAATATAAAATATGATAAAAATAATTTTTTGTGCTTATTTGATTCCTATTCAAGACACTTAAGATAAAATAAGAATAACTATAGTGTTACTATAGGCGGCTACAGATTTGTTTAACATTTTATGTTGGTGGTGTTCCTCGTGATTTTTTTCAATGAAAAAATGTACCTTGGCTCAAAAAAGGTTGAAAAACACTGGTCTACTCTATCCTGTGCAAAACACAAAGAAGCTTACTGTCTTTTCTGTTCTTCCTCAGATCTGGAATGACTACAAACTGCGGTGGATGCCGGCCGAGTTCGACGGGATCGAGTTCATCAGAGTCCCGTCCAACAAGATCTGGAGGCCTGACATCGTGCTCTACAACAAGTGAGACTTAATCATCACAATCCAGAGATTTCATTCTAGCTGGTGCTTCCATTACTGTCAGCGTTTTTGTTTATTATCAGTACGACGTCCAAGTTGTAAAATGAAGCACAAAATATGGTAATGAGCTTACAAAGACCCATTTTCTCCACGGAAAATGTACGGGAGGCTGGTTAATTAACTCATTGACTGGCAGCCATTTTCAGAACAGAGAGTCCCATACTGCCAGAGTTTTTTAAGCATTTTGACTGATTTTTCAAGAGCCACAGAATAATTTGTGCTATGACTATGTAAACACCGAACACACCAAAAGAAAGAGTAGACTCTCTTCTTTCATCAGGAAATAAAAATTAGTTTCTACCTTATTCCGTTCTTCCTGGACTTGCGTCTCACCGGCGACATGTTCTCTCATAGAACCGTTAGCTTTTTCTTATTTGCCTACAGTCTATGCTCATCTCCCATCAAAAGTGGCACTGCCCCCTAGAGGGTCAATTTGTTACTACATACTCTGTCTAGAAGCCGATATTTACGGACAAGCTTTAGCAGATCGTCCCCCAGCCACTCTTGTTGAAAAACATAAAAGACGTCTATAGACGTCTTTGGCAGCAAATGAGTTAAGCATCTTGTGTCCTAATGTTGTTTTTTTTCAACTGAGAAAAACAAAACAAATCTTCTCCTGCATTTTGAAGTCCCTCTCCAGGCATCGATGGAGCCCTTAAGTTAATCAGAATAGCATATTTATGATTATTTTCCTGTCAAAATAATCCCTTTGTGCATTGAAATGGCTTAAACGACTTTCTACACCTTTGCTTATTTGGAATGTAGGATCCATGAAAATGCTAATTATACCCCCCCCCTCCTGCTGCATATGAAAACAAGCCGTTCCCCAAACATTTTCTGCTTTAGTGGAGAAAACTCTGCATCAACAACCAGTAGAAATTGGTGTAGAAAAAAAATATCTGCTCTACTTCAATTATGTATTTGGCTCGTTTCCACCTGATCTTTGAGATTCATCCGTCTGCTCGATTATCGTCTCGGTTTCTCTTGCAGGTTTTTTATTAAGGGACTCTAACATCCCACATATACTACTAATGCCTTATTAAATGTTAGGTTTGTAACATTAACTTAAAACCAGTCATAATCATGTATTTGATGAATGAATGCTGCTCAGTTTGACGTTGAAATAATCTCTTTTCACATCGTCTAATGCATATTATGTTGGACTGATTTGTTCCATGTATTCACAATAATTAGTTTATTTTAATAATTTCAAACAGGGGAATTTGTATTCATAATGATGTAATAAATAGATGATTCCCTGTCTTTTCACTCTGAAGGCTTTTGGTTATTTTCCTTAACCCAACCTTTTTAATCTTCTCCATTTCTTCTTTACCTCATTGTTATTTTCTCCTCACCTATTGTTGTCTCATATTTCTGCCCATGCTTGGAACATCCCCTCTGTACCTTTTCCACCTTTTGGAAACACTGGACTGATTGTACATGCAGTGCTGTGGGCGACTTCCTGGTGGAGGATAAGACGAAGGCCTTGCTAAAGTTTGATGGTACAATCACCTGGGTCCCTCCGGCCATTTTCAAATCTTCATGTCCAATGGATATCACTTACTTCCCATTTGACTATCAGAACTGCTCCATGAAGTTTGGTTCCTGGACCTATGATAAAGCCAAGATTGACCTGGTCCTTATTGGCTCTAAGGTCAGTGTTTTTTAACGTATCTGATGAAGCGTTTAACCTCAAACTTCAGAATGTGTCTGTTCTGTCCAGCTAAATGTAACACCTGTGCTCAGAAAGATTCATGATTTTAGCTTTTTAAATCCACATGTGAAATTCAGTTTAACCCTTTAAAGCCTGACCCAAGAATAAAACAAAACAGGCAATTACTTTTTTTTTGTTTGAAGTCTTTATTTGGCCTTTTAACAAAATATGTAAAAAGAAAAAACAGAAATACATTTTTGATATTAATAATTTATTACTATGCGATAAGTCAAGATTATGTTTTGTGTAGTCTTCTGCCCCCTGTTATCAGGTGTATCTGATTGTGTACAATAGGATTGTGAGCAAAGTTCTTCCAATTAAATTATGCAAAAGGTGTCAGACGCAAAACATTTCAGAAACCGTATGTATCAAATATGATACATTTGGCATTACAGGGTTAACTGTAATGGAAATCTTTACTGGAGGTGGGAATATTTGAGTGGTTATTTTCATGTAAAATCTTTGAAGGAGACATCCACAAGGCAGGGGGAAATCTGCATGTTTCAATGTGGTATGTACAGTCACATATGTAGTTTTCTGTCAGTGCAGATAGTCCATGTGCTTTTGAAATGTGTATTTTTGAAGAAATTCACTTAATCTGAAGTGAATTTCTGGACGGCAAACATATTGCATCCTTCAGTAACAGCTCCTCAAACCTTGATGGATTCAGCCCAGAGATTCCTCCAGAACATCCGAACCCGTCAACGCTCACAGCAGAATATTTTGACATCTTTCTTCTGCGAGGCATCAAGACAGATATTTAAGCTCTCAGATTTACTCAGCTTCCACACGTATTGATTTTTTTTTTATCGTCAGCTGTGGAAAATAGTCATAAACTGTCTGTCACTACTCCACCGATTAACTGGGTGGATTTTAAACACACTTGGGTGTGTTTAAGTGAGATTGAGCAGATCTGAAGCATTAAATAAAAAAATAGAGGTAGAAAACAGCTTTCTTGGACTAAAAAATGTCTGTCTTTCTCTTGTAAGCAGCTTCTTTAAGTGGTCCGTGCTCCTATTTTATAAGCCAACATCTATATTGTTACTTCCTGTTTTCATCTCCTACAAATTAAGCCGGTCCCTCAGTAAAACTGAGAAGGGGTGAATGTTGGGACAGTTTGCTTTATGTCTGATGGCCAAAATGATTTGCTGGGAATGAAGATGAATTGCTTTATTCATGGCTGCATTTGAACATACAGATCCAGGCGTTTTGATTAGATTTACACCTTCAGTCACATTAAAAATCAAGCCATGCAGTTAATATTTATTAGATTAAAGGACAAGATCTATTTAACCCTTTAAAGCCTGATCCAAGGATAAAACAAAACAGACATTTTTTTTTTTTGGTTTGAATTCCTCATTTGGCCTTTTAACAAAATATGTAAAAAGAAAAAACCAGAAATACATTTTTAATATTAATAATTTATTACTATGCGATAAGGCAAGATTATGTTTTGTGTAGTTTTCTGCCCCCTGTTATCAGGTGTATCTGATTGTGTACAATCGGATTTTGAGCAAAGTTTTTACCATTAAATTATGTAAAAGGTGTCAAACTCAAAACATTCAGAAACCGTACGTATCAAATATGATACATTTGGCATTAAAGGGTTAAATATCAAGCCATGTAGTTAATTTGTATTGGATTAACAGACAAGATCTATCTAAACATGCTGAATTGACCACTAAGTGGTCCATCATTTGAATTCGTTTCCCCGTTTTCCAGGTGAACCTCAAAGACTTCTGGGAAAGCGGCGAGTGGGAAATCATCGACGCTCCCGGCTACAAACACGATATCAAATACAACTGCTGTGAGGAGATCTACCCGGACATCACGTACTCCTTTTACATCAGGCGTCTGCCACTCTTCTACACCGTCAACCTCATCATCCCCTGCCTCCTCATCTCTTTCCTCACAGTGCTGGTCTTCTATCTCCCGTCCGACTGCGGAGAGAAGGTCACGCTCTGTATCTCCGTCCTGCTCTCCCTCACTGTCTTCCTGCTGGTCATCACCGAGACCATCCCCTCCACCTCCCTGGTCATCCCGCTCATCGGGGAGTACCTGCTCTTCACCATGATCTTCGTCACGCTCAGCATCGTCATCACGGTGTTCGTCCTGAACGTGCACTACCGCACGCCGATGACCCACACCATGCCCTGCTGGGTGCGCTCCGTGTTCCTCAAAGCCCTGCCCAGGATCATGCTGATGCGGAGGCCGATGGAGGAGGACAGCAGGGGGCTGGACAGCAGTGGGGAGGCAGGAGGAGCAGGAGGGGGAGGAGGGGGAGGAGGGGGAGGAGGAGGCGGAGGAGGAGGGAAGGCAGGGAGGAGGCGGCAGAACAGCCTGATGCAGGTAAGAGGTCTCGGTTATTTTTTTATTTTATTTTATTTATTTTTGTTTTTTTAATTTATTTAATTTATTTAATTTATTTTATTTTATTTATTTTTCAATCCATTTTATTTATTTTATTTATGTTATTTATTTTATTTATTTTATTCATTTATTCTTTATTCTCTTTCTTTTTAAATTATTTTTCAAATTCATTTATTTATTTATTTATTTATTCATTCATTCTTTTTTTTTCTTTTCTAAAAAATGTCTCTAATAGCAGACATTAAGAACAATTATCCCCCTATCTATCTATCTATCTATCTATCTATCTATCTATCTATCTATCTAAGTCTTTTGTTTAGCCTTTTTTGTGCATCTTGAAGTGTGAAACGGGAAACTTGAGCTGGCTAGAAATCTGAACAACTAAAAGCCTCAGAACAGCTCACTTTTTCAAACATTTATTCCAATCCCCACTGATTCACTCCAACGCAGAAGCAGATATTTATTCCCTTTGGATTTAGTTTTCTCCACAACAAAGCAAAGCAAACAACAGGAGACGCAACACAACCGAGAGCAGCCTATGTCTCAGATTATTCCTCATTTTCATGAGGTTTAGTTCTGTATTAGAGGCATTCAAAGACAGCACCGAAAAGTGCAGAATGTCCTAACGTACAACAGAAAAACTCCCCAAGTTAGTATTAATTTAGTTTTCAATGTGCTTGATGAATGAGTTCTGATTAGCTAAATATGAAGAGAAAACAAGCCTTTTTGATCTCACTTAAAATTTAACCAGAAAGAATGTGTATCTTTTAATTTTCTATGCATGGCACTATTGAACTTTTTCATTTAGTAATGTCCAAAACGTCTTTACTGAGTTCTTAGGACAACCCTGAGATTACATAGTCCTTATGCATTCCCTGTTCTTTTAAATTTAAACAAAGTAACCCATTTATATATGCCATTCTTGATAAACCACATTAATCATTAAACAAAAATGTTCTTTCTCTTCAAATCAGGATCAAGATCTGTGCTCCAGAATTGATTGATCTGTGAAATAAACTGAATGAATGATCAAACTATGTCCAAGTTTAGGTTGGATTTGTGTCCCCAGCAGGTTGGAGGAGGGTCCCTGAACTGTCTGGAGTTTGGGGACAGTAAGTTCTCCTCCGTTGAGGGCTGTAGTGGAAAGAAGTGTCCCTGTGTGTGTCCGCATGGGCGGGAGGCCCCGGAGGAAACGGGGAATATTTCCCGCCAGATGAGTTCCCAGGCCGTCAGCACGGTGGTGGCCTTCTCCGTGGTGTCTCCCGAAGTCAAACAAGCTATCGAGAGCGTCAAATACATCGCCGAGAACATGAGGAGTCGGAATAAGGCCAAAGAGGTGGGCGGCTATCTTTACAGTTTATACGAAGAGCCACTTTTAAAATGTCCGCCAAAACACACACTCCTGTGTGTTTAGTTGAGAATAGTTGTTAAAGGAGACATGTTATACCCTATTTCAACAAGTTAAACTAGTTCCCTGGTGTCCTAATGTGATGTCAGTGACAAGCTTTGGTCAAAATCCCATAAGGATGAAGCCCAATAGCAGCTCAGTCCCCCTGCCTAACCCTAACCCTAACCCTAACCCTAACCCTAACCCTAACCCAAAACAGCCCCGTTCAGAGCGCTCGCTTTGGAGTGCCTGTCTCTTTAAATGCAAATGAGACACAGGCAATCCGCCCACTTCTTCAGGGAGGTGTGCCCACGTCGGCACGCTAACACTGCCACGCTAACGCTACCACGCTAACGCTACCACGCTAACGCTACCACGCTAACGCTACCATGCTAACGCTCACGCTACCAGGACGTCTCCACAGATAGGGGAGTAAGCTGAGGGGGGGGGGCAACATGCAGGTGAAAGGCTGGAATATTATAATGAGCTAGAGCTAATGACGTCAGAAACTACCCACTCCTGAAACCTCCTGATTTATCTCCTGGATTCAGACTGAGGCGGCCCACAAAAACATGACTGAGTCTTTTTTTTTCACACTTTGCCTGCTGATAGGCCCTCCACAGTCCCAAATGTACATAATCAAATGATTAAAAACTTAGTTTTGCATAATATGTCCCCTTTAAAATGTCCTCCAAAACACTCACACTTCCGTGTGTTTAGTCGAGAATAGATGTTAAGAGCGATTTATTTTATTGGTTTCCAAGCCAATTACTCCTTTATTATAATAGCCATTATTTATATTGATTATATGCATTACGTTTTTATATTTTTTTCTGGTATTACCAGTAACTTTTTCAGTTATATTTGAGTTTTTCAGCTATTCTACAGGCACTGAAACCCCAGTGTTTACTTGTTATGCACACAGTAGAGTGAAGTTTGGCTTTTTGGAAGGAAATTGAAGATGATCTTTGCAAACTATGTCATGTAGGAGGCAGAATTTACCAGAATCTATCAGCCCAGAGTGTAAACAGGAGGCAGGCGTCTGATGCATAATGCATCCGTGCTGAATCAGCACAAATGAAAAACAGCTCTGACCAGCTGTGGAGTAACTCTGAGCTGGAACCTGCTTCATCCGTTAACAGTATAAGTTAAAACTGAGAGCTCTCTATCCTCTTTCTGTCGGTTGTAAATAAAGTGAGGAAATCTCCCAAAGGGAAGAACGGACTCTTTGAAATGCAAAACTTGTGGCTCTATCGGCTTTGTCAAAATCCCGGTCGCTTGTTTTGACACTCGAGTTTGAATGTGATTATCATAGTAATTTTCTCCATGTGTAAATTATGTGGACATTTTCTGTTTATCTATGAAAAAATGTTTGTATCCCACCTCCCTAATTACAGTCAGGGTCACCTGTAACTTTTCACTTTTCATTTCTAACCACTGACGTTGTTCTTATAGGGGACATATTCTGCAAAACCAAGTTTTTAATCATGTGATTGTGTACATTTGAGACTGTGGAGGGCCTATCAGCAAGCAAAGTGTGAAAAAAAATGACTGGGTCATGTTTTTGTGGGCCGCCTCAGTCTGAATCCAGGAGATAAATCAGGAGGTTTCAGGAGTGGGTAGTTTCTGATGTTTCATTTCATTTAGTTTATTTTGAAACATGATATGATTTTACAATGTTTACATACAATGCTTCCTAAACATGCATCATGTTTCAAAAAGGTGCAGGAGGAAGCAATTAATGTCAGGGAGGTGGGTCTTGAGGGAGGACTCAGTCGCGGAATGAAGGGGAAACAAGGTTTATTGTACAAACAGGGTGAATGTCCAGACAAAGTACAAAACAAAGCTGTGGCAAACTGTGGGCAAAGTATCAAAGCAAGCAAACAAGACTGTGGAAAAACTATGACAAAGTAACAAAATAAAGATTAACAAGACTATGACAAAACGTGACTATGACTGTGGCTGTGGCAGAACTATAACGAAACAAACCTGGCGTGGGGGTGACGACGGACGAAAGGACAAGAGACAAGGCAAGAAGACAAGAACGACCCCGCCCCAGACAAGGGGAAACGAGGACTATTTAAACACACGAGGAAGGGGAACCCCAGGTGCACACAATTGGTAATCAGGACATGACGAGACACCAGACGTGACA